TCTTTCTTTCTTTCTTTCTTTCTTTCCTTCCTTCCTTCTTTCTTTTTCTTTCTTTTCTTCCTTTCTCTTTCTTTTTCTTTCTTCTTTCTCTTTCTCTTTCTTTCTTTCTCTCCCTTCCATCCTTCTTCTTTCTCTCTCTCTCTCTTCCTTCCCCTTCCTTTCCTCTTTCTTTTCTTTTCTTTTTTCTTTCTTTCTTTCTTTTCTCTCTCTCTCTCCTTTCTTCTTTCTTTTTCTTTCTCTCTCTTTCTCTCCCTTCCTTCCTTATTCTTTCCCTCTTCCTTCCTTCCTTCTTTCCTTCCTTCCTTCCTTCTTTCTTTCTTCTTCCTTCTTTTTTTCTTTCTTCTTTCTCTTTCTCTTACCTTGCTCTGTCACCTAGGCTGGAGTGCAATGGCATGACTATGGCTGACTGCAGTCTCAAACTCCCAGGCTCAAGCAATCCTCTCACATCACGACTTAAAATTCTACACAATGAATTTTTATAAGGTGAACTGGACACTCTACTACTGACTAAATAGGACACCTGAGTTCCCCTAAGGCACAGTAGGGAGACATAGGCTCTTTATCCTAGTGATTTTTTACTCCTCCAAGTTGCTGGGACTGCTGGCTAGCACCACCATGCCTCGCTAATTTTTTATTTTCTGTAGAGATAGGGTCTTATCATGTTGGTGAGGCTGGTCTGAGCTCCTGGGATCAAGCAATCTTCCCACTTCAGCTTCCCAAAGTGCTGGGATTATAGGCACGAGGTAGTGCACCTATCCTGATAACTGCTCTTCTACACAGACTTGGGTTATCAATAATTCCCTCAGAAAGAAAACTGTCTCTCCACTATTGGAGGTACCTGATAATGTCAGATTGGCAATAAACAAATTCTTCTGTTGGAGACATTTGTAAATTGAAGGCTTTTATTTTTCTCACAAATGTAGCTACAAATTCCAAATATCATTTTGCAACTCTGCCATTTGATTTCTCCAAACGTTCTCAACATGAGTGTTTTGTTTTTTGAGACAGAGTCTTGCTGTCTTTCAGGCTGGAGTGCACTGGTGCCATCTTGGATTACTGCAGCCTCCATCTCCCAGGTTCAAGCAAGTCCCCTGAATAGAATCCAGTAGCTGGGATTACAGGCACCAGCCACCGTGCCCGGCTAATTTTTGTGTGTTTTTTTAGTAGACACAGGGTTTCACCCTGTTGATAAGGCTGGTCTCGAACTCCTGACCTCAGGTGATCCACCCGCCTAGGTCTCGCAAAGTACTGGGATTACATGTGTTAGCCACTGTGTCCAGCCCCAACATTAGTGCTCTTTATTTATAATCACCGCCCACATAGGCTTTCTCTTCCACATACTTAGGGCCTTTTACTATATGCTGATTGGATAAAGAGTACAAAATCACCTGAATAAAGAACTTATGTCTCCCTACTGGGCCTCAGGGAAACACAGGTGTCCTGTTTAATCAATAATAGAGTGTCCAGTTCACCTTATAAAAATTAACTGTGTAGAGTTTTGAGTCCTAGAAAATATGGAATAACTGACAGAGATTTCAATTCTGGCAAGAGTATAGGAAAAGGAAGAGATGCTTTTTACTGCAATTAAATAGAGATTAAGAACAGCGCCAAGAAGCAAATTCAGATTAAAATCTCATTTGGCTTTAACTGACATAATTCTGTCCCACTCTAATATTTAACTGTGTGACAGCTGAGGATGCTATGACACAATCTGGTGTTAGTATCAGATGAAGATGGAAGAGGGTCAGATCTTAAGACACCCGACTGCAGGAGGCAGGCGGAAGAACAAGTCAAAACGTCACTGTGGGAGGGTGACAGGCTGACAGTAGCCCACAGTTTGACTTAAAGATGGAGAAGTCTTATCTTCTAGTTACTCCAGAAAATATAACTTCTATAATTATCCAAAAAGGCTCTTTCTTCTATGAGATAGTCCATCAACAGAGAGTTGCTCTCACAAATGACTGCCATGTCCATTTGGAAAGTTCTCTTAGTCTCACTAGGCTTAACAAAACATCTCCCGGTTGTAGGACCCAGAGCCTCTACGGACTCTCAAAGAGCCATTATGCGGGCTAGGTTACTTGGATTTTATTAGCAGAAGTGATTCTCTGTAAGGTCAGGGAACACCATCTGCTTCCCCAGATACTGGATACATTCAGCACTGTAGTGGAAACTGTGTTGGGATTTTAGGCCAGGTGTCCAGTGTGGTGGTCACAAAAACTGAGAGCTCAAAGGTCTCAGTCTGCATGTGTACACTAATGCCATCATTTCTGGGGACAATATTGTTCATGATCATTTCACTGTTCTCACCTCCTCACCCTGTACAGGCTGCATTAACTGACACCCACTTCCTTGACACCCTAGGCACTGCCTTGCTGCTATATTGAGCTTGATGCTGCTCCGGAGTGCACGCTTCTCATTACAGTGTTATTAATATCACCTTAGGAGTATCATTTTTTGTGGTGATGTGGGAACATGTGACAAACAGAAGCCACCAGTTTTCCATGGAATGTAGTTGGAGCCAGTTAGGTCGCTCTAACTAGATGGGGAAGGGTGTTTCCACAACCCTAAGTTCTCCTATTGTGTTTTATGAAACAGTAAAAAATATCTCACCTATTGTCTCTTGTTTTGACATCTACTAATGAAGTTAGTGCAGAGGAGAAAAAGCAATGTAGAAGTCAGTGGGGGAGGCCTCGACTTTTTGAAATCTAATTCTGTTGCCCAGTTAGCATATTCGTCTAACTTTCTCATCCCCTCACATAGATCTAGAGTTTATAGGTTTAGTGGATTCCACCATGTTTTGTAACTGCATTTCTTTCTGTGATGACACTCTACCACAAGACTGAAATAATCTCTTTTAAAATTGCCACACAAGGGCACCAAACCTAATAAAAAATCATTATAATTAGATAGCTACATCTTTCTTCTTCTAAAGCCATTGGTAACCAAGAAGAAAACTTCCCCATAACCTCTAAACCAAGATCCTCAAGATTATAAATTAATCTTTCAATCAACGTTAGCATAAAATAAGATAGTGCAGAATGCAATACATTGCTATAGCATATATCTAAACTGATAGCACAGTCACCACCAAAATGATAAAGATAACATTTTCCACAAGTCAGAGAAAATATTGCCAAGTGATTTTCTTAAAATAGCTAGTTATTTGAAACCCATTAGTGTTCTCAGAACACTGTAAAAGCCTACTGTAAAAGTCTAAAGTCAATTCAGAGGTCAAATATATTCTTCCCCAAACTAACACAGTGCTGAAACAAGACAAAATCTGGCTGGAGGATATAGGTTTCTCTAATTCTTCACCCACAGACTTTAAATAGGCCATGAGATAAACCAAACAACATGTAGCCATCCACAAACGGAGGAATTTAATTTTTTCTCCAATCTGACAGGATGCCAGCAGTGTCAGCATTAGTATTCTTAGGGTGTCTGTGATTGGTGCTGATCCTTGGCAAGAACTGTACTTTTTTTTTTAAAGCTTATCAAAATGATACATATTGCATATATATTACATACATGTATCTGTACACATGACATATGCATAACATAGATTCAGTTTAGAAATCAGATCACGAAGCAGGCATCTATGAGCAGCAGCAAGAAGCACGTGCTCTTTACATGACCTACTTACAGAAGGCAGAGTCTCCCCGTCAGGCGGTCTTCAGCATGACAATTAGCAGTTTTTCCTGCAGTTTGGCCAGCAGGAATGACACAAACCTCTCCCTAGCACAAGTCACTCAGCCCTGTCGGGTTCCTGCTGCTCTCTGGGCAACGGCATTCCATTAGGAGTGTGACACAGTAGGGAAAGAGACCGGTTCACTGTGAGACCTGCTACTCACTCTCGTACAGTGTATCGGCCCCCCTTCCCACTGCACAGCGGCTGCCGGGCTCTGGGCAGGAGGCATGTGGCCATCATGAAAGTGAACCATGGAGTCACAGTTCCACGGAGACATGCTGCATTCTCGGTAGCCTTCTTCTAAAGGCAGTATCTTTTAGCACGGTATTAAAACAACCTAATTTGTTTCCCTAGCCTTAAGAACAGGGGAAAGTACTCTCTTCAAATTGAAAACGGAAAAAAAAAAAAAATTAAAAGGAGATCTGAACTAGAAAGGTAAGAACGTCGTTGACTTTCTGCTTTAACGGAAGAAGGATCAAAAAATAATTCACGTAGACTGTTTAGCATGCATGCCAGGGGCGCTAGTCTGACGTATGCTTCACCTTCTTGTACCTACTACTTTTCCACACAGAGTCAATCAAAGCTTTGTTATCTTCTCTGGGTAGAGGAAATGTGCTGATTTAAATTGCCAAGCTTGAACACTCATCCAAAGAGTCCAAGATTCACCAGCAAAAATAAGTGGGTTGAGAAGAAAATGGGAAACAGATTCTAAGTACCTGCTTGCTGTGCTGCCTGTGATATCTGCTGAGTCCTCTGGGCATTGTACTGGACTGAGGCCATGGGCCGGTACTGTTGTGTGGTTGAGGTAGGGTACTGACCAGATGGATAATAATAGACAGGCATCTGAGGAAGACAGGGGGAAGAAAGCAGAGAATGAGAACGGTCATGTAAATTTTTAAACATAAATTATGTTTTTGTCTTGTAATTGTGGTAGGTTGTGAAGATGGCCACCACAAACTTCTCCCATGCCTATGTATATGGGCATGCTACTTCTCCCATGAAGAGGCAAAATCCATTCCCCAAACCTTCAATCTGACCTGGTTCTGTGACTTTCTTGGACCAATGCAGTGAGGCAGAAATGATGTCTGAAACTTTCAAGCCTGATCCTAAAGAAGACTTGCCGCTTCCACGCCTGTAGGCGGGGAACCCAGCTGAGACATGAAGTCCAGACTATTCTGCTGCAGAGGCCATGTGTGGAGCACGTGCCTCCAATTGACTGGTTACCCTCAAGTTCCAGGCATGTAGGGGTAGCCCCAGTCAAGCTACCCTGGCTACATGGAGCAGAGGTGAGCCATCTGTGATAAATCCTGCTCAACTGCTCACAAAATGGTTGTTTTAAAACAAGCCTTTTGTGGGTTTTTTAGATGAAACAAGAGAGAGTAAAACAGTTATCATCAACAATAAAAACTTACATTTTAAATATTATATATAACTTGAATTGCTTTTCTAATGGAAACAGAGGTGAGACATGAAAACTGCTGATCTCTAGCCTAAAAGGAGCAGAGAATGCAATTATGAAATACAGTAGTCTATTAAAGCACATTGCAGAATGACTGGGACATACCACTATTCAAAAAAATGTATGTTCAATCGAAAAAGAGAAATAAGATTTGTAAAATCCTGTTTATGCTACCTTCTTAGCTTTCTTATGACTGAGAATGAATAAAAGTATTCTGACTACTTGATTATGATCCAAATCAAATGTTCTCTGATCTGTTAGACTTTGACTGCATCAGGTTATTTATATTAAGGCCACTTTCTTACTAATCTTAGCTAATGATTTTCCCTCTTCAGGCTCCTGAGTTTTTTCCTATTATATTCTCTAAAATGACAACTGAGGTACCCAAGTAGACAGCCTACAAACATTAGATACACAGAATAACATTACAAGCCAATTATTTGAGAACTGTGATTTTCATGGTTATTTTGTTTTCTGATTTGCTCAGGTCACATAAGAAGCACTCTTCTATTTCAATGTTGCTATTGAAACACATGTAACATATTTTACTGCCTGAGGATAAAGTGGGAACAAAATATAAGAATCTGTGTGAATCTGTAACTCCTGTAACTCTGCAATTTCATGGAATCATGGTGAATTATAGCTGCGGTTATATAATATATGGATATTCAAGGGCAAGAGGCTGAATGAGTCTAAAGCAAGCTTGGGTCAGTATCTGGCAACTAATTCATTGCATGCCTTATTCATAGTGACTTGAGCTTACTACTTTTCTCTTATTTTGTCAGGCAGTTTATAACAATAAAAAAAAACCAAGTAATTCTGGAGTAATAATAGCATTTAGCTATACTCTGGCAAATTGTGGTGCTATTAAAGATGACTGTCATTATACATCAGATGCCTCCCAATAGTAAGAATAAGAACAACTATCATCTAATTTATTTGTCAGCATTTATATTTACATGTCTTTTAGGGAATAACATTTTGTTCCTTTAGAAAAGACTGTGTCTTGATTAAATGTAAGCTCATGAATGTGGTATCTATTCCTTGGTCTCCCTCCTATGTTCAATATAAAACATAAAATACGCTCAGGAACGAAGGAATTTATAGTTACAAACATTCTAATGAGCACTAACGGTTAGGATAAAAGTACAACTGCATGTAAATAAGATTTTTTATTAATTCAATTTCGTTGTTTGTTTTGTTTTTGTTCTTTTCCCCAGACATAGCTTCTGTGACACCTTTGAAAGCTGTGCTAGAGATTTGGCTAATTGTATCCAGCACCACTCCAAGGTGGCACTTTGGTCAGCTCTTGGGAACTGTGATCCCCAACCAGATAAAGAAAATGAGCTCTTGGTCTATCCTCATCCTCAATCAAAGAGAATGGAAAGGAAGCCAGGTTAACAGCAATCTTTTAAAAGATCAGCATGAAAGGTTTGAAAGGAGAGAAGTAAAGGGAGAAAGCAGTAAGGATGGCCCAAAAAGGAGAAAATGTATATGTTCAATCAATCACGTTAAAATATCGAGAATCTAAAAATGAGTGTATTAGGTGGGAAAAGAAAGAAGAAACTGTAAAACATTCACACTTCTCCCATGTCCCTTCTTCAAATTCTCTTTGCCTTATCCATGTGTTTCCCACTTCACCTTTCCAGGGGGCATTTAGAAAGCACACATGATGGGTCAGATGAAATCGACCTTCACATTTATTATACAGATTCATTTTCTGCAGAAATTTAACAGATTTCCACATATGGTTGTGGGCTGAATCTGAACTAAGTTATTTTCGTTGTTCCATAGTTGGGTGATCAGATTTTCAAATATGTACTAAATTAAAAGTTTCTGTGGGCTGTAGCCTACATCTTTATCTGTGATTCTTCAAAAAGAAGTTCATATATGTCTAGACTGATCATGAACCATGGATACCTCCCTCTCTTTCTATCTTAAACCTACTCAAGAAGGAATGAAAGTATTTCTGTCACAGACACAACAGGGGTTATGAATTGTTTTTGCTTCTGCCCTGATTAATATGAAAATCTCTTCAGTGAAGAAAGACTTTCGTTTTTAAATATTTATTTATTTCATTTTCTGAGACAGGGTCTTGCCTTGTGTCCTGGGCTGGAGTGTAGTGGTATCATCATGGCTTACTGTAGCCTTGACATCCCAGGCTCAAGAGATTCTCCCACCTCAGCCTCCCAAATAGGTGAAACCACAAGTATGTGCCACCACACCTAGCTATATATATTTTTTATTTTTTTGCAGAGATGAAGTCTCCCTATATTGTCCAGGCTGGTCTTGAACTCCCAGGCTCAAGTACACCTTTTGCCTCAGCTTTCCAAAGTGCATTACAGGTGTGAGCTACCAAACCTGGCCAATTTTTATTTTATGTATTTTTTTTCTTTTAAATTTAATTAAACATCTTGCTAACTATTTTTTTTGTCAGCAGAAATTAGCAAGGACACTTAAGTGCTTTTTAGGCCAAAAAAGCTAAATTATTTTTCCTAATAATTAAGCTTGAGGTATTTAATTTATTGGTAAAATTATTAATATATTAATGAATCCCTTTCTCCTGTAACTTAAACTTATTTTACACATCTTTTAAAATCCTACTTATGAAGAGATATTACAGAGAAGGCAACTGAAGATGAACTATTAATTAATCACTCAAAATAAAATGAACAATTTAGTGACAATTATTTCATGGTAGAGGGTTTTGTGTGGCTTGAAAAGAAAATAATTTATTCAAGATGTTAAGGCAGTGAAACAAATGGTACAAAGGTGACACTGCACTTTGAACAGCTCATCCAATGCAATACTTCATAATTAGGATGGAATTTTCTTGGGATCTGTGTGACTTGAAAATGGACCAGAAAATGCCTCTGTGCATTTTATATCTTGACAGTAATCACTTCCAATATTCTGCAAGGGATACCCAAGAGAGCACCAGAGATGTTTGGTGGTGAACAGTAACACATAATCAGTCTTTGAGAAGACAGTAAAAATCAGTGATCTGTGGTGTCTTACATGCTCAAGTCAATTAAATATGATTAATGGCTACCTGTGAGAGACGCATGAGCTCTGCATTCCCTTAGGGAGAGAAAAGGACTGTGGATATCAGCTTACCCTCCTCCTTTATATTCATAGAGGAGCTCCTGCCTGGAGCACCAGGTTAGCTCCAGAAAATGCTTATGAATTGATAAGAAAGGAAAAAACACATTTTTGGAGTAGCGGCAAGAGAGTGTTGAAGGTCCCCTAGGTCTGGACCTTTCCCTTTTCCAAGGCATTTCCTTCCTGGGCAATCCCCTGAGCAGAATATCGCATGGCAGAGAATGCTTTCTTATGGTCTCTGTGTGAGCAGCCTGGAAAATGGGATATTCCCCTGTTGTTTCCATGGGCAGTTGGATCAGTTTCAATCAAATCACTTTCTGAGCCCTGTAATTTTGAACAACTGCTGAGTGGAAAAAATGCACTGCTTCCTGTTGGTGAGGAGTATTAATACAAATGAGAAAGGGATTGAATCTGGTTACATTCTACATAGAAAGATAAAGGTCAAAATGCATCAAAAATCAGCTGTAGGTCACAGTCATGAGGAAGCACACCTACCTGTGCAGGTGGAGGCTGTTGCACAAATCCCTGTGGTGAGGGAGGGGGCTGGAGGACCTGCTGGGAGATGGGAGGGCCAGAGCCTGAGAATCCTCCTGTAGGAAGCTGCTGGCCTGTAGAGGCGATGACATAGCTTGGCTGCTGGGCTGCCTGTGGCATAAGGGAGGGCGGGTAGACAGGACCTGATGGGGGTTCAGGAGTCTCCCCCGAGGACTGCCGGCTCAAGGTCATCTGGCTGAACTGTGTTGCCACATCGTCTCTCTGCAAGTCATGGAAATAAATGTGGGAATTTGTGGGATCAGCTTGGTAGCAAGAGAGGAAGACACAGGACACATGTTTGGAGTTGCAGGAGAGAAGGGAAGTACAATTTGGAAAAATTAAAATAAAATAAAATAATTCTTCAGCCAGAACATAACAAGAGAACAATTAATCATCCCAAGGGTCAGAGATGGCAAAAATTTTGATCCAAATCTTTCTCTTTCAATGGAAACAAATTCTTATTTTTTCCACTGAAAACACAGGCTCCTCAGGATGGCATTGCATACAAGGAAGGCTTGATATTCTGTCCTGAAGGGTCAGCTTGTCTTCCCAGCAGCAACCACAGAATCTGCCTCTGGAGAGCACCCATAAGGCAGAACCACTCATACTCATCACCCCCAGTGCTGCTGCAAAGATGGAGCCAGGACCTGTATCACCAATGGGCTGGGTGGGATTACATTCCTATATTAGGGAGTATTTGTTCACTGGCCTGATCTGAAATTTAGGAGCTTTCTTTCCCTCCCTTCCTTCTTTCTTTCTTTCTCTTTCTTTCTTCCTCTTCTTTCTCTTTCTTTCTTCTTTCTCTTTCTTTCTTCTCTCTTTCTATCTTCCTTTCTTTCTTTCTTTCTTTCTTTCTTTCTTTCTTTCTTTCTTTCTTTCTCTCTTTCTTTTTCTTTCTCTCTTTCTTTTTCTTTCTTTCCTCACTTCCTCCCTCACTCCCTCCTTCCTTTCTTTCTCTCTCTCTTTCTTTCTCTCTTTGTTTCTCTCTCCCTCCCTTCCTTCCTTCCCTCCCTTCCTTCCTTCCCTCCCTCCTTCCCTCCCTCCCTCCCTCCTT